GAGGAGAAGAGGAAGGAGAAGCAGCCCAAGAAACAGGGATGAGAGGCGGCTGGTGCCCCTCCCCCAGGAGATGACTTCTTTAATTTAACCCTTTGTTTGTTCTGCTGAGGGAAAAACACATTCTGTTTAGAAATGCCCTGGCTGTTGTTTCAGAGGACAGCCAAGAGTGGTAGAGAGAAGCCTCCCTGCTTTTCAATCTGAAATCAGAGAAGTGTTGGGGGCTGGGAGAAGAGGGCTGAGTTGCCAGACCAAGCCTATGTGAGTCTGGGAGGCTTGTTGTGTCGTATCTACTTGGCAGGTGATAGGTGCCCAAAAACATTTGCTAAGCTGCAAGACAGCGTGCAATGTTCAAATGCATCGTGGGATCCTGGCTTGGATCCTGGATCAGACAAAAGTTACTGTGAAGAGCATTATTGGGACAATTAGAAAAATTGGATGTGGACTGTAGATTAGACAATAGTATAGCAACAGTATGAAATTCCTTGAATTTGATAAATGTAGCTATGTAAGGGAATATCCTTGTTCTTAGAGGACAAATGCTCAAGTTTAAAGAGGAACAGGGGCCAAATGTCTGCAAGTTACCCTCATATGGCTTAGTAAAACAATAATAATCTTCCTGTGTGAGTGTGAGTGTGTGTGGCAAGGGCAGACACAGAAGTTTGTATTTTACTGTCAATTCGGTTAGGCTAAAACTACATTCTCCCCAGTCCCTTTCTCTGTATGGCTGTAGGTTAGAGAAGGCCAAAAGCAACACCTGGAAAACTTGGCCCAAGCTTTGAGGCAGGAGCCATTACTCTGATAGCGTCTTCAGAGTCCTGTGCCGTGAGTGACGGATGTGTCGCAGAGGTACGAGAGCAGCCAGCCCGGCATTGCTGGCCCTGCTCTGTGCCCTGCGGAGGGACAGTGGTGCCAGGTCATCTACCAGACAGCCACAGGTGGCAGCTACGCAGAGGCGGGAGGAAAAGTCCTGCCCAGACTTACCCAGGGATAGCTACATAATCTGTAGGGCTCGGTGCAAAAGGAAAATGCAGGGCCCTTTGTTTATAAAGGAGGAAAAAAAGTGCTATTGAAGGTACTAACATATAAAGCTTTTTTCCCTTCCATGGTCTTTCTCTCAACTGGTCATAGTGCTTCTCAACTTACTATTTAATGTTGTTCTAAATAAAGGAAAATTTCAATTATTAGCATAAAGCACACCACATGTCTATAGTGTGCAGGTACAGATAGAAGAGCATTTAACTTGCATGTGCAGCCACGCAATTCGTATTTCACACTCACACATGAATGTGCAGTTTGTTCTTTCCGGAAGAGTGGAAATCTGCACAGAATTAAATGTATTTTTTTCTTGATATGCACACGTCTGCCAACACCACTACGTTTGGCTTATTGACGAGCACGAAACAGAAAGTCCAGTTGCCCCATCTTTTGTGTCCTTCTACGCCATCGTCCCCAGCGTAAGCGGCTGACCAGTACAGAGAAGGCCCTTCCGTAGGAAAGGACAGAACCGGGTTCCTCGGTGGCCAGGTACTCAGGACACTTCTTTCTGAGTTTGAAGCAAGTTCTCGGATCAAGTGGAGAGTACGGCCCCTCAGGGCTCCCTGAGGCCCCTGTACTCAGGTGTGCACATGGCACGCTGGCCTGCACTGGCCCTGAGTCTCTCAGCTCCTGCGCGTCGTGTCGCCACTGAGACTCTGTGCTCATGAGCGTCTCCAAGGTTACATGGGAAAGGGGCGGCAAGGCCCGGCAGTGGACAGGCCGCTGCGCACACCTTCCTCATGCTGCCGAGGGACTTTGCTCTGGCCTGCCCACCCCTTTCGGACCCTCACTTCCCAACAGCCCTCCCGGTCCGCCGGCCGAGGTCTTGTTCCTGTAAGAGATCCCTCATTCCAGCATATTCATAATGGTTCTGCTTCCCAGCTTGACCTTGACTGACACACAGAGAGAGAGAGAGTTAAAATAAATGTGGCAACATGTCAACAACTGGTGGATCTAGGTGAAATGTATACTGGTGCCCACTGGCCAATTCTTACGACTTCTCTGTAGAATTCAAGTTTTTCTAAATAAGATTTTAAAAATCAAAATTTTGAGGAACAAATCAATGAGCGAATAAATGACTGTTGCTGTTAATTAACCCTTTGCACTCGCTTGCTTTTTTCTCGATTCCTTTATTCTACTCGGGATTTAATTTTTTAAATACCCCCGATTTTACAAAGCACGGCAGTAGAATAAAAAAACTGGAGTTTCTTTTCATACAAACTTATTTATTTGGATTTTTTAATATTTCAAATTATTGATACATTCAAAGAGTAATTTTAATCTCTATAATTTTTCATGGTGTGATATATTTTGAAACATTCACCCACATGAAGACCTGGTCTACATTCACATGTTTTGCAAATATAAATCGTCACTCTTCTTCCTCCTTTGATTTTTCTGTTAGAACAAACAACAGAATCTTTGTGTTTTTTGTTAGGGTGAGGTGTGATTATATGGAGCTTTCCATCTAAACGTTGCTCTAAGTTAGTGGAGAATAATCTACCCCTGGAAGTTAGTGTACCATCTCTGCATTTACATTTTACTTGTCCTTTCCTGCTAATGAAAACAAGAAAAGATACTGGAAAGATAGACAAAAATCCCCCTCCCGCTGCGCGGTGAAACTGTATGTCGAGTGTGGCTCGACATACGAGCTGCTACCGATGCTAACCGTGTCGAGTGCAAAGGGTTAAATGTGCTCCTACTCCTGCAGTTTCAGATCTTTATTCAGTTGGCCACGTGCACAGTAAAAGTACCTCCCTTATGTATCTCACTCTCATTTTCCACGCACTCCTTAGGACTTGGAGGAAGTCCAGCTCCATTTTGCTGGATTTTGAGTCCATATCTCTCTGTGTTGGGGGAACATGGTTTTGTGTGTATGTGTTGCTGTTTTGATGAAAGAGGCTCTGGTGCCCCACCCCCAAAGAATTGAAGGTTTGACGTTGTATATCATATAACCTTTATTATTTTTCCTCTAAATTCTTAGAAACTTACATAATGCCCGTGCTCTAGTAATGACACCATTTATAGACATTTAAAATGCATCTTCATTTATAAATATTTTACATTTGGTCCATAGAACAGATAATTTTACTAAATAATACTGTAATTTTTCTTTAAAACAGGCTCTGTATATAGTTTGAATATGTATATATAACATATATTTTTATATAGAGATAGATTTACTTGGTGTTCTGAGAATAAATCCTTATTGCAAAAAAAAAAGCATATATGATAATACAATATCTTTTCCCCCCGGGCAAATACTAAAAAAAAAGTTACACGTATTCACAGTTTTCACAGTAATCGTACGACACTTAATATTGTGCTCTATAAGATAGGTTTGGATGGAAATCGGTTAGGGGATTTCTTGCCAAACATCTCACTTAAAATTGCTTACAAACATTAAAGACGCTGCATTTGTCTTTGAAAGACTTGGTCTCAGTTTTACATTGAAGAACAAAGAGAAAGTTAGAAGTCTTTCTGCCCTTATTCTAAAGGAATTCACACACAGTTGGGGAGTCGGGACCATGAGACACAGCGATGGTTTCCGTTCATTCTAAACCTTATAGTTTAACGATACGTATGCATTTGATCATGGATTCACCACTTGGCATTTGGGATGCCTTAGCAATGAGACTATTTTACATATGACCTCAGGAAAAGGCTTTAGGTTTCCTACACGATATCAAACGAGACCCTATGTGCCACGCGTGAGAATGAATGTGCATGTGTGTGCATTTATATGTGTACACATTGTTTTTCTCTACAATAATGTGCTTAATATTCTGAGGGTAATATCTTATTGCAAGAACTGGTGTGCTGGTCACTTTCGGATGAGAATGACAAGAGATTAAAAAACCCACAGTCACAGTTATTTACCATAGTTATCAAGGGTTAGTCATAAAACACGGTTTGTGAGCTAACTAGCTAGGGAGCTAAGGGGACGACACACGACTTGCTACATGGGAACCCATCTTCCTGGCAACCGAGAGGCGCTGAGTCACTGGAGCTTGCAAGATGCTGTCTTCACCCGCTTCGCCACCACAGAGCCCAGTTCCAGAAAGGGACAATAACCCTCCCCCGTGAGCAGGCTGTGGGGTGGGGAGTCTCTGGGTGAACACTAGCTCCTCAGTTGGCGGCTGGGTGGATTTCGGTGGCAGTGAGGAGACCCCTGCTGAGGAGCTCGGGGAAGGAGAGGCAGCGGCGAGGGGCGGCAGTGAGGGTGGTCGTTTAAAAGGGACCGAGAGGAGACGGGGTGTGCCGGCCTCGGACAGACCCTGGGCGTCTCCTCGGCAGCAAGAGACACCGGAGCTCCGGCCGGTGGCGGCGGGACCTGCGGCCCGGGGGCGTGTGGCGGCAGCTCCGGCAGAGGGCGTGTGGCGGCGGGACCTGCGGCCCGAGGGCGTGTGGCGGCGGCAGCTCCGGCAGAGGGCGTGTGGCGGCGGGACCTGCGGCCCGAGGGCGTGTGGCGGCGGGACCTGCGGCCCGAGGGCGCCGAGAGCTGGGGCGCGGCTCCCCGCGGGCCTGCCGGGCCTGTCGCGCGGCCGCCGGGCAGGTCGGCCAGGACCGGCCTGGCAGGAGCGGCGGGAAGGCCACTCCAGGCCCGCGACAGGCGGTCCGGGCGCGCCGACCGAGGTCTTGGGGGCCGTTTTGTGCAGCTGCCTTGGCAGGAGGACGCCGGAAGCGCAAGCCGGGCCGCGCCGGCTCCTCTGCGCGAAGGGCGGTCGCGGCACAGAGGGGCGGCGGACCGAGCGGCCTCGCCGGCGCGAGGACACGGTCTGCGGCCCCAGCCTCGAGCGCGACCGCAGCTGCTCGGCGCCCACGGGTGCGGGGAGCCGCCCGCGTCCGCCGCCCTGGCCCGCGTGGGCATGTCGGACCGCCACTCGAGGTAGCTGAGACGGAAGCATCCGCGGACGTCAAGTGGCGGTCGCGCTCGCCCGCGGCGAGGGTGCGGCGGCGGCCGCCTAGATGTAGGCCTCCTTGCCGGCCGCGCCGCCGGCCTGCGGCTGCTCCGGCCCGTGCTCCTCCGGGCGGGCGACGTCCTCGCTGGGCTGGATCATGACCTGGATGCGCTGAGGGCACGGGGGGTTAGGGCGCAGGCTCCCGGGGACTCCGGGGGACGGCGGGACTGCCGCCCCTGCCCCGCCCTCAGCCCTGCGCTGTGTGCCCGGCCTTCCGCGACTCCCAGACGCCAGCCACGCCCCGCGCCTGGTACCTGGCCCTCACCTGCCGCGCCACCCCTTCATTCTGCTCTCCACATGCCAGTCGGAGAGGTCCCTGACACCAAACACAGGTCATGCCGCTCTACTCCTCAGCACTCAACAGGGCTCCCATTTGACCGAGAGGAAATGCCAAAGCCCTGCAAGGCCCTACAGGATCTGGCCCCTGTCACCTCCCAGACCTCAGTGTCCCCCCCTCCCTCACTTGTGCACCCCAGCCGCTCGAGACTCCTCACTGCCCCTCACATACATCAGGCATGCTCTTGCCCCAGGACCTTTGCACAGGCGTGCCCTCTGTCCGTACAGCCTTCCTCTCAGATAGTTACACAGTTCACTGCCTCCTTAGGTCTTGGCTCCAGTGTTCCACTTTCTCAGCAAGGCCTCACCCAGCACTCCCTAACCCCACTACCTACTTTGTTTTTCTCCACAGTCCTCGTCTCCATCGCACGTGCTTTTACTTTCTTAATTGTTTATCTTCCTCTGCAGAATTTAAGCTCAAGGACGATGGGATTTCTGCTTGCTTTGTTCATGACTGTCATCCCCAGTGCTGACAACAGCATCTGGCAAGTCGTAGGTGCTCAGCACATACCTGCTGAGTGGATGGGTTCCCCACTACCCTCACGGCACGCACCCCCAAGGCCCTGCCCCGTCAGCTCACACCCTGGCCTCAGGTATGTCTTGCCCTTTCCTAGAACAAAAGCTTTGGACCTGGAGCGGGAAAAAGGGGTGCAAGCACTGGCTCTGTTCATAACAAGGGTGGGGTAAGCAATTTCCCAGCTCAGGGCCTCAGTTTCCTCATCTGTGAAAGGAGGAGGCTGGCCCAGCAACTGCAGGGGCTGCGCAAGGGGCTGGCTGTCTTTCCTGTGCCTCCGGCCCCGGAGCGCCCCCTGCTGGCGCCCAGGGGGCCTGGCAGGCACATGGTCCAGGGCAGTGAGGTGGAGAACCGGTCCCCCAGGCTTCCCGCTGTGGCCCTGGCTGTGGCCCTGCGCACCCTGGTCCTCAGCTACCCCTCAGTGAGCTCTTCCCAGCCAGCGCCTCCCGCACCTGGGCGTCGCCAGCACTGCCTTGCCCCACTCAAGAACTCAGTGTGATTTAACAGAGCGGCGTGGCCCTAGCACAGTGCGTGCCGGTGGGCCGCTCGGGGGCAGCGTCTCTCCTGCTTGTCTTTCCTTGTGGCAAGACCACGTTTTCTCTATATCAAGGCCACAAAGTAGATCCAGGGCAAGCCCTGAGCAAATCTGACCTTACCCTTCATCTGTTCCAAACCCTGGAACGCTCCCCATTGCCTCCGGATAAACTGCGAAGTTCTTGTCTTGATTTTCAAAGCCCTTCATGATCTGGCCAGACCTTGTTACACCCCTACCCTCATCTCGTATCACACCCCTCCTCACACCCCTGCCCACTCTACCCTCCAGCCACACTGATCTCTGTTCGGTTCACCAAATGCAGCATACACCCCGGAACCTTTGCACATCTTCTCAGCCTTTCCTCCCTCCCCCTTCTAGGAACATTCTTTCTACTTCTACTTTTAAGTCTGATTTACCCTCAGGCTTACTCTTCCAAGAAGCCTTCCCTAATCCTTCTTACCCCAGGCAGGGCTATTTGTTCCCGCCTCCCCAGCTTGCCCCAGTCCCCTCTAAGAAACAATCCATTGTCATTAGCTGTTGACTGGTCTGTCTCCCCAACTAGACTGTGAACGTCTCCAAGGGCAGGGCTGTGCCCAGCACAGGGAGGGAAGGGGACTTACAACTGGAAGAGTGGAAAGGGGCTTACCTGCTTCAGAGATCCCTTTAAGGTGAGGAACATGTAGGCCATGTAGCCAGGGATGAGGACCATGGAGGACAGAGCCATGAGCCAGCCCACGCCCTGGCCCCACTTGGGGAAGACGTAGCTTCCCATGGTGAGAGGAGTCATCTGCACGGCACTGAAAATGAACACGCCCTGGGGAGGGGCAGCAGTCAGTCAGCCAGAGTGGACACCTTCAGTCTATAGGGCCACTGCCCTCCACCCCTGCCCGAGGCCCTTAAAGGGCCCAGCATCATGGGAGTCCTGCACCCAAGGTTACTGCTAGTCCACGTGGTGACTTTGTGCACAACAGAAAAGGCCACCCTCTCTGGGAAGAGCAGTAGGAAATGGCTTCTACACCAGGGGGACCAATTAAAAAAGGGTGTCCCTTCCTCTAGGTTCACCAGGTTGGGAAACAGAACGAGGGTTGGATTCAGCTCCCAGTCTGCCATCATCTCAGCGCCCTCGTGCAGAACACATATACAGTGGCCCAGCCCTCCCACCCTCCAGCTCAGGGACCACAGTGACCCCTCCCAGGCTCATGCCTGCCTCAGCTCCCCCTTGTGGGAGGCAATGAGGGATGTTGAGAATGAGAGGCTTCCCAGCGCCAAGAGCTTGGGCTTCAGAATGAGGCCGAGCTGGTTTGAATCCCAGCGCTGACTCTCTGGGTGACGCCAGTTGGGTGAGCCCAGACCTTCAGAAGTAAGTGGGACAGTGATGCCCGTTTCTCTGCAGTTCATGAGGACAGGTCATGTGGCTGGTACTGAGCAGAGTGCAAAGGTATTATTAAGGAGCAGGGTTTCTGTGCCTCTCCCACCTGCCTTTGCCTCCAGAAATTTCTCTCTGGACCTGAGCACCGCTCCCCCTCCCACTCCCCCCAGGGCCTGGTCTAGCCTTGTCCTAACACAGCTGGTCGAGCCTTGCTCTTACCGCCACGATGATTGGGGTGAAGAAAGACCAGCAGAGTTTCCACCAGATGCAGGGCCTGGAGCCAACCATCTCTTGGATATTGTCGTAGAATCGGTTGACACCTGTGACGTCGGCGGCAAGAGGGATGGATGAGCCGTGGGAACTGCGAGCTCAAAGCCCAGGTCCACTGTTTTTCTTTCTCCGTGTGACCATGGACAAGCCACCTAAGCACTCTGAGCCCGTTTCCTTGTCTGTATCCCGGAATAATACTCTGGGACCCTCACGTCCTAAGTATTTTTCAGTGGCCCAACCCCCACAGCAAGTGGTTTTGTGGGAAAGCAAGACCCCTTAAAGTGACGAGATCTGCCAACGAAAGTGTGCCTATAAAATGAGCTCCCCACTCTCAATGCCCCTCCCTTCCGACATCTATCCTGGCCATTCCTGCAAAGGCTTCTCAGGGAAGGGCAGTTTTCCCTGATGGTCTGATGCTATAAGAAACTGGCCATCGATTGCAAAGAACTGCAAATCTCACAAAAAAGAAATACCCCAAACCCACAGCGTGTCTTGAAGAGTGGTGTTGCGCAGAGCTCAAAATGCAAGCAAAGTCACTGAGGATCTGACAGAACAGTTGAGAGAGATGAAGGGACAATGATGGAGGATGAGGTGGCAGGTACTGCAAAGAGGATACACACAATGCCACGTCTGTTTCAAAACATTTGATCTGCTGTGACAATCAAGTGGGCGGGGAAGGATACCCTTTTGACTATCATGCAGTTGGAAACTTAAGCCACTATCAGGAAACTTAAGCCACAAAATAAACAAATAAAATCTACACCTCCTTTGTTATTTATTCTAAGACAGTGCACACTTTTAATTATAGCCTAGCTTTTGTTAAATATATAACTGTAAGAACATTTTTTTATAATTTTGGTTTCCCTTTTCTAGATAAAATCTCAGCCAAACCTTTTTATTCCAAAGTTTATGAAGAATGTTTGCTCCCATTTTAAATGGATTTATTTAACTGTTCTTATATTTTCTAAACATGGAAACCTCCTGTGCTAACCTCATTGAATTGTGTTGTGAAGAATAAACAAATTAATGTAGGAGAAGGGCCTGGTGTTCAAGTTGTATTTGTTGAGTGATGGTTGAAGAAAGCAATGAATGAATTAGTGAAGGAATATAGGAGGAGAGGTTGATGCTCACCGTAAAACCAGGAAATAGAGACACATTCAAAGAACACGAGGAACAGCAGGCTCATGCCGCTGGCAGAGTAGTAGTCGAAAAGCTTGAAGACATAGATGCCCCCCTGCAGGAGGAAAAGAGGTGAGACAGGCCCACCTCCCCCAGTGCCCAGCGCATTCCCAGACACCGTGGGCTTTGGAGCCTCTCGAGTTGGGATTAGGCTGCACTGCAGCTCGAAGGCTTAAGGGAGGATTAGAGGAGGCATGGAGGACCTTGTGACCGTGAAAGGGTACGGACACTCTGGGGACTTGGAAGAAAATATCCAGGTGGCGGAGGGAGATGCCCCATTTCTGGTAGGGCTGGGGGGGGGGAGTTGGGCAACAGGGCACCTTTCCACAATGTAAATCAGGCTTGTCTCTCCCCTGCTTAAAACCTCCCATGGCTTAAATAAGGCAGTAATATCGATAAGTTCAGAGATATCCAATCCAACCCAGCCCAAATGCCCTGGCCTGCTGGGTCCTGCGTGGTCTAGTTCTTCATCCCTACCCCCATGCCCCTGTCCCCCAAACACCCACGCCCCTTCCCGCTGTGGGGCTCGGCCCCTGCTGTGCTTTCTTCCCCTGGCTGGCTGGCTCTTCCTTGTCACTGAAGTCTCAGCTTCCTGTGACCTCCATAGATAGTCCTCCCCTGACACTCTGTGTGAGGCAGAGTGGCCATTCTTCATTCTACTGTCCTCTTTTCTTCATGGCACTTAACACTCTCCGAATCGTCTAATCTGTGTATCAGTCTCATCCACCACAGCTGTAAGGTCCCAGAGAGCAGACACATTAGTGTCTGACATGGTAGTTACTGGATTTCTGGGGTCAGGCCAGGGCCCTCGCAGGCATTCAACAACTGTGAATAAATGGAGGAGCAAGTGAACTCTGACCCTGAATCAGAACTCCAGGGGTGGTTTTGTGGATCATAAATCAGACCTGCAGACTGAGCTCATGTCTTTAGAGTCATTTATATTTATTGTACAATTCATCAGTTACGTCTATATGTCTCTGACTAGACTCAGAAGACCTCGAATGCAGACAGCGTTTCTCATTCTTATCAATACAGAAAGAAAAGTGGGAATGCAAGGGAGCTTTGGGCAGTGTCAACCCCAATTTGACTCTCTGGCTAACTTCTGTGAGCCTTTCAAAACTTGGCTCCTACAAAACTTCCTCCTCCAGGAAGCAGTCGCTGGTGCCCCAGGCCAGGTTAGGTGCTGCATGCTCCAGCTCTGCCCTATACTTCCTGGCTCAGCTTGTCTGCTGCAAGCCTGGGAGTCCCTGGAGGGCACGGACCCCATCTGACCCACTGCTGTGTGCCCGAGAGTTGGCACAGAGATGGTGCTTAATGAAGGGATGAAAGATGGGATATGGCATGGTTGGGGCTGTGCTGGCCGCTGACTGAGCCTACCTGGGTGATGTTTGAGAGGCCGATCAGGTAGGAGACGATGCAGACAGCAGCAATGAAGAGCTCCCTGCGGTTGCGGAGGAGTCTGGGGTACTCGTCCACGAGGGCGGTGATGAAGCCCTCCACGGTGCAGAACTTCAGGCGGGAACAGAGGTCGGCCACCTGCCCCCAGCCCCTCCCACCCATAGCCGGGCTCCACAGCCTCCGGACAGCGGGGCCAGGAGGGCCCCAGGATCCAGGCTGCCTCTGCCTCTGCCTCCCTCTGTAACCTCAGGACAGTCCCTCCCTGCTGGGCATCAGTTTCCCCTTCTAGAAAATGGAGAATTTGGCTGAGGTGTTCACTGAAGTTTCATGCAGTGGGACATTCTAAGGGTCTGAAATTCTTGGTCATCTTCTTGGGGTCCTAATAGTGTCCTTCTGTCCCTGCTTGTTCCTGGACTGAGGACTCGGGGTGGGGGACCCCTCACCTGGCTGTCAATGCCCAACATCAGGAGCATTGAGAAGAAGAGGATGGCCCAGAGGGGAGAGATAGGCAGCTGGGTCACCGCCTCTGGGTATGCCAGGAACGCCAGCCCCGGGCCTGTGGAGGGAAGGGCAGAAAAGAAAGAAACAAAGGTCCTAAGCCCCACAGCACGCCAGCACGCCACGGCTTTCTAAGCTCTATTTCATTTCATCCTGACAGTGACCTTTTGGGAGAGTGTTGTCAGCCCCTCTTTCCAGATAAGGAAATGGAGCAGGGGATGAGGGGCCACAGGGCTATGTCGCAATGCACGAGGACCAGTGAGGAGCTGTAGCCACTGTCTGGACAAGGGACTGCCATGGCCTGGCCAGCGAAGGGACAGTGCAGGTGCGGAGAGGTGGCCAAATGGGGACACTTAGGAGGCAGAAGGGGCAGGGTCTGGTCCTGGTTAGCTACAGGGTGAGGGTGAGGGAAGAGCCCGGGATGATGCTGAGGTCCCTGGCCTGGGCCCTGGATGATGACAAAACCCTTCTTGCAATGGGAGCACAGTGAGGAGGAAGGCTGGGGGAGCCTGGTGTCTGAGTGTCTGGTGGAGGCGTCCGAGAGATCAGGAGAAGCCTTGGAATGGGAAGAAAACATACTAACTGCCCTGGGTCTGGCTCTGGAGGGGCGTGAGGGAGGAGGGCAGGGCGTTACAGAGAGGTGAGATGGGACTGTCATTGTAGGGGAGGTTAGAACCGCAGTAGAAAATGTCCCTCTCCACACGACCAGTCCAATTCTCCAAGGGACAAGTCATGTCACTCCCAGAGCCTCAGGGCCCTCTGCCATGCACACCGTGGGTTCCTCCCATCTGTTGCCCGCCTGGCTGAGCAGGGAAGGGTCGCCTGGGGTTTCCTTGGCCCTGTGGCACTGACCACTGTATGGCGAGCAGAGTGGGCACAGCCCACTTGGTGAGCACATTTTTAGAGCCAGGACAAAAGCACAGACTTGGAGGGTTCATATTATGGTGGTGAATATGTCCAAATTGGACCAAAGTTTATGCCCCGGTGGCAAAAATGGGTCTTTCCCCCCCCAAAAAATCCAGGGTTGTGCTGTATGTGCCGGTATGGCCAGGAGACTAAGAGCCCAGGCTTCTCCATGAGCCGGACCTAGGCTCGCACTCCAGGTCTGCCACCTTTCTGGCTCCGTGACCTTGGGCAGGTGACTCCAGCGAGCCTAAGTTTCTTCATCTATGAAATGGAGATAACAACAGCATCTATCACGTATCGCTGGGAAGATTCAGGGGCACAGTCCGTGTAAAATGCTCAGCGCATTGCCTGGCACATAGGAAGTGCTCATTGCCAGTCAGCAGTATGGCAGTGAGGGTGACAGGAAAGCCAGGTGGTCAGCCCTCCCCCCCCCCCCCCCCCCCCCCCCCCCCGGAGCCCAGACCCTCCCAGGGCAGCGCTGACCTGAAGCCGCCACATCGGCAATGGACCGCTTGGTGACGTGGGCCATGAAGCCCACGATGGAGAAGATGACGAATCCTGCAAACATGCTGGTGCACGAATTGATGCAGCAGACGATGATGGAGTCCCTGCAGCGCGGGAGGGACAGGGTCAGGGCGGGCCGTGAGCAGGCCGCGAGGGCCCAGCCGAGGGCAGGGGCAGGGAAGGGGCGCAGCCCGGACTGGCACACCCTTATGGATGTGGCTCAGAGGGGTTGAGCCGAGGGGGCCAAGTGGCCAAGGAGGGACCTAGCCCTCGACAAGGGCCCGCGGCCAGCGGTTGCAGGCAGGAAGGAAGGGCGCCCGTGCACCTGTAGACATTGTTGTGGAAAGAGTTGTAGCTCCCGAGAGCGATCAGGGATCCCAGGCCCAACCCGTAGGAGAAGAAGATCTGGGTAGCCGCATCCAGCCACACCTACAGGCAGAATTATCAACAATTGTCAAAGTAGTCATCAGTCGCAGCTCTCCAAGGCCTTTACACGTGCTCACCAGCTCTACCTGGCAACAAACCTAGTTTACAGCTAAGGGTAGGGAGGCGCAATGACGTGTCCTACAGCTAGTCAGGGGCGCTCAAGACCCAGGCTGTGCCCTCCAGGACGTACACCGGGAGGGTCTCACCTCGGAGTCGGACAGCTTTCGGAAGTTGGGCGTGATGTAGAAGAGGATGCCCTCCTTGGCTCCGGGCAGTGTCACTCCGCGGAAGAACAGGATGATCAGCATGATGTAGGGGTACGTGGCAGAGAAGTAGACCACCTGGAAGGAAAGTGCGGGATGGGTCACACCCCTCCAACACGATCCCGCGTCCTCCTTCCCTATTTCACCTGCAGCCACACCTGATGTGGCTCTGGGCTTGGTGCCAGTTCTCCTTCCTTCAGGAAGCCTTCCTGGATTCCTGCTCTACTTGGCCACGTGTCTGAAGCTCTTCCTTGGAGTTTGAACCAACCAGCTCAGCACTTGGTTTTTTCCTTCCCCGTCCCCTCTTATTTTTTGACTTCTAAATTATCAGAGTAACACATGTGGTGGCAGGAAAATTTAAAAATTACATATAAGCACACACACAGTTCAAGTTCCCCTCAACAGCTCCTAGAATATAAACTATATGGAGGACAGGGCTTGTTTTATTCACTTCTCTGTTCTCCCAATACCAGGAACAGTCCATGGTATATTGTAGACACTCAATAATTGTCTGACAAATACATATTAATAAACGCAGGGTTGTTAACATTCTACTGTTCCTCCCCTGAGATTCTCCTTTGCATATGTAATCACATTTTCTTATAAAATGAGGTTCAAATTACATACTTGCTTATTCATTTAACATGTTAAAAGTTAAAAACACACAGTACATACAGTTTTGTTTCCTCTTTTGTTTATTAAATATTGTTTTATTGTCTCATAAACAATACGATTTTTTAATTATACAAAATAGTCCCTCAGGAGGTCTCACCATCCTGTTTCAAGTCTTCTCTCCTGTTACCCATTTAAGCTACCTCTAATTTTATGTGAATCTAAGTGATACTACATTGAACAGCCCTATACTTAAATCTTTAGCTACCAAATTATTATACCACTCTCGGGGAAATGTTCTAGAAGTGGAGTTACTGAGTAAAAAGGAATAAACTCGTCAAAGACGTTCACCATGTCGCCTTGTTGCTCTAGTCACCCAGCCCTCTAGATGCAGAACTCCGCCCAGCGCCTCAGAGGGGCTGCCTCACAGTCCTGGCACTCAGTATAATCATTCTAAAAATTATTTTTTGCCAGATCAATAATCACTGATGTCAAAGACTGATATCATGGCCTGCAATTGCATTTCTTTGCTCGCTAGCACAGAACAGCAATCTGTGAGTTCGATGGCCTTGTATCTCGGTCCGATGTGAGCCCATGTCCCAGTCAGCAAGGATCACTCTCTGGATTAGCTTCAGCCCTTAAGCTGTGAGATTCCTCAGTCAAGGATTCATGGAATGGCAGCCATGATCCACTGAAAATCCACTGAACCTAGAATTAGCACCAGGGAATTCGAGCCATCTGTGGCACCTACAGGCTGTGAGACTTTGGGCCGATTTCTTCTCCTCTCAGAGCTTCACTTTCTCCGGTCTGGAAGATGGGTACGATCACCCTTGTTACAGAAGGGTCAGCCACAGGGGGACACACAACGTGCTTACTACGTGTGGCCTAGGCCCTGCACTTCCCCGTGTCCTCCACGTTCAGCACGGAAGCATGGACCCAGGCACATGGTGGGTGTTCCAGAAATGCCTGTGGAGGGATCAGCTGATACCCTCTATTGATGCAGTGAGAGGGGCCCTGCTCTCTGTCCCCAAGAAGGGGTCAGTCTCCTTATGTAGCGGGAACTCTAGATCCCACCCCAGAATGATTGTATTTGATACTATGTATTGACTGCCTACTATGCGCTAGGCACATGCCAAGCATTCTGCATGTCTCTCTGTCTTTGTGACAACGTGTAAGGTACTGTTACTGTGATCACTTCACAGATGAGGAGACTGAGGCTCAGAGAGGTGAAATGACTTGCCCAAGCCACACAGCTATGGATCTGGGGAGTGAGATTCAAACCCTCTCCCAAAGCCTTTAAACCCTATGTTTTTCTGTTTCCTAAAGACAGCCTGGAGAACACCTGTGCCCTCTCCCTGTCTCTGTAGTCCTAGGGCAGGTCAGAGATGTTCGGACAGCAGCCTTGAATCTGAGAACCCAGTGGGTTCAAAGTTTCCACCGGACTGAATGAGGCTCTTTCCAGCTCTGCCCAAGCTCAAGTGTGGCGTTGGTTAAGGTCCTGCTTGGCTCGTTTGCATTGTCTCTTCTAGAACCTTGCATCAACCTCTTGGGGAGTTGTGACTTCCCACCTCCAGCCTTATTCAGTTCCAGTCCCTTCTCTGCCCTTTACTCGCTAAGACGACGCACTTGCTCTCTGAGCTTCCTCCAGGCCGCCTCCAGAGAGAGACTGCCATCTTCTGCCCCTGAGCTCTGGGTGGGGCCGAAATGCGGAAGGCACTGAAGCCAGTTCCCCTGCTCCCGGTTTGATCAGCCAGCTCCCTGGATGTCCCCAGGCTAGGCACTCCAGCGTGGCAGTGCTCTGCACTTGCCAATAATGACGTCAAAAGCAGTAACAACTCTCCTTGCTCAGTGCTGAGTGCTTTACAAAATGACCATCTCATTTGATTATCATAATAAACCAGTAGATAAGTGGTTTACAGAGGACAAAATTGAGTTTCAGGGAGGCAAAGTGACTTGTCTGAGCTCACAGCCAGTAAATAGCTAGCTCGTTGGGATCTGAACTCAGGACTGTTTGGATGCAGAATATTTAACCACCAATCTATCCACCTCCGTTGCTCCTCAAGGGTCGGGATGTGCAGTTTTTGTCTCAGGAGCGCGGTTTTTGTCTCTGGAGCCCGGCATCTAGAGCAAGGCTTGGCACAGCGCAGGTGCTTGGGAAAGCTTGTTCCATGGTCCTTGAGCAACGTCTCCCTCTGTTTTGGGCTGGCTGTCAGGCCCAGTGGCCTCTCGTGGGACTCGCCTGAGCCTGGCACTGTGCTCCGTGCCTGACTCGAGTTGCTTCCTGTAACCCTCACAATGGCCTGGAGGCAGGTGATGTTTTTACTCCAGTTTTGTAGGAAAGGCAACAGGCCCACAGAGAGCTGAAGGGACTGGTGTTAACTAAAGGTCGGACGGGGCTTGGGGAGGTGTGGACTCCTTGCCCAGCGCAGAGGTCCTTGGTAGACCCATCCCTGCCAGCTGCCCTCCTGTCCCCATGGTGCACGTGTATCCCTTACCTTTCCAGTCCAGCCAACACCTTTCCAGATACAGAAATACACAAGGATCCAGGCGATGGCCAGCGTGATGGCCAGCGGCCAGCGGATCTGACCTGGCTTGTCCAGCCCGTCTGTCATCTGGTGCATGTTGCGCCTGGCCGGACAGTGGAGGGAGGAGAAAGTCACACAGGGCTGGTGGGAGCTGGAGTGAACCAGGGGTGCCCAGGACGGGGACATAAATGATACCCTCCCCGGTGACTGTGCTGACACCGTGATCACCACGACTTGAGAGGTAGATGGGTACTGTGAGGCTCAGTATACTAGTCAGTCGAAAGTGCTGTTTGGTTGACAGATCAAAGACAGCAGGACCTGCCAGAGCCTTAGTTAGCCACCTTTATTGCTCGTCTGGTGGCCGGGCGGCCTCCTAGCACAACCCCCCCTTCACTTTTGCTCCACCCTACTCCAGCCAGCCCCAGGGAGCCTTCTAAATTACAAGTCTGGTCTGTCACTACCTGCCTGGAAACCTGCAGTGAATAGCTCCCTCTGGAAGCTCAGACTCCCCGGCCAGCCCCTCAGGGCCTTTGTGGGTTGGCCTTGCTCTGTCTGAGTCTCAGGGCTCAGCACACCCCTCAAGCTCATCAGATGGAACCGCTCCTTGCTGGGGTCCACCATGGTCCAGCTCTTTCTGGGGAGGAAAGGGCTTCACCAACCCTGGTGGCTCCTTTAACCCCGCCTGCAAATCCAGCCCCGCATTGCTTAATGGCGGCATGCATTCTCAGAAACGCATCATTAGGTGATTTCGTTGTGCGAGCCTCACAGAGTGTGCTACCCGAACCTAGGCACGGCAAGGCTGTATGGGGCGGCCTGCTGCTCCTAGGCTACACACCTGCACACTGCGCTTCTGCACTGAACACTGCAGGCAGGTGTAACACAATGGTAGGGTTCGTGTATCTAGACATATCTGAACGTAGAAAAGGCACAGTGAAAACATGGCATTAGGTATTATAATCTTATGGGACCACTGTCATGTATGTGGTCTGTTGGTGACTAAAACGTCGTCATGCAACTCAAGGCTTTATTAGACTCTTCCACTGTCCCTTTGAGGGGCCTCTGTCTCCTGCCGGGCCGTGGCTGACAGGTCCTGCCCCTGACCCCTTGGGTGGCCCCGTACTCACTCCCAGAACTCCACCACGGCACTGGTCATGTTGGTGGTGTTGATCACACTGTAGTTGGAGAAGCAGCGGTCTGTGTTCCAGGGGTTGTCACACTGTTTCCACGGGAGTGTCTGCAAGGACATGGTCATGAGGACAAATCCCACTGAACCCCCAGGGGCTGGCACAAGTGGTCCAGTGCACCCTGCCTACCCTCTCGGTGCCCCAAGTCTCCTCACAGTCATTAGCCCACCTCCCCTTCCCAGCAACTCTGGGAGGCAGGTAGCATTGTGACCCCCATCTTATAGATCAGAAAGGGGCAGCAACTTGCTCAAGAATGCACAGCTACTAAGTGTCAGAGCTGAAATTTGAGCCTTGACCTGCTCTCTGTGAGAACCAGCCTTCCAAGCTGCACTGTAAGGTCTCATGGTGCCCTTGGGGCCACTCCTCAGCTAAGCGACCTTGGGCCAGAGACCTCGCCCATCTGGCTCTGCACAATGAGGCGAACAGCAAACTCGGGGCTTGTTCCACCCAGCTGTGGTTCTAAGCCAGGGGTCCTCAAACTTTTGAAACGGGGCCAGTTCACTGTCCCTCAGACTGTTGGAGGGCTGCACTATAGTTTAAAAAAAACCATGAACAAATTCCTATGCACACTGCACATATCTTATTTTGAAGTAAAAAAACAAACGGGCAAAAACACCCGCGTGTGGCCCGCGGGCCGTAGTTTGAGGACGCCCGAAGCACTTCACATACATTTGTTCCTTAATCTTCACAACAACGCTGTCAGGTGGGTTTCATTTTCTTTCATTTTTTTATTGTGATAAAATACACACCACAAAATTTACCATCTGGACCATCTGTAAGCATGCACAGCTTAGTGGCATTAACTACAGTCACAACGTGTGCCACCGCCATCACTGTCTTCAGAACTTTTGGATTTTGCAAAACTGAAACTCTGTCCCCGTTAAGCAACTCCCCATGCCCTCCCCAGCACCTGGCAACCAGAACCCTACTCCTGTCCAAATGAATCCGGCTGCTCTAGTCACCACATACAGGTGAGATCGCACAGTATTTGTCTTTTTGTGGCTGGCTTATTTTACTCAGCGTACTCAAGGTTAATCCGTGTGGTAATAAGTGTCAGAATTTCCTTCCTTTTTAGGGCTGAATAATATTCTATTGCATGGATTGACCACATTTTGCTAGTCCATTCATTCATCAATGGCCACTTGAGTTGCTTCCACCTTTAGCTATTGTGAATAACGCTGCTATGAACGTGGGTGTACGAATATCTCATTGAGATCCTGCCTTTAATTCTTTGGGTATTTACCCAGGAGTGGAATTTCTGGATCATATGGTATTCTATTTTAAAATTTTGAGGAACTGAGGTGGGTTTCACTTTTATTCTCATTTTATAAATGAGGGCACTGAGGCTCAGAGAGGTTAAGTGTCTTTCCCCAAGTTGCACAGCTGGTATACAGTAGAGTCAACGTTAGAACGCAGGCTGCTGGGTCCCTTCAAAACGGGCTAACTGTACCCAGGGTGGAGGGTGTGTGAGGACAAGCTGGCAGCCACACGAGTGCCTGGCCCAGAGCAGGTGCTGGGTTTGCAGTGCTGGACGCTGTGAGGAGTGGGCTTTGAGAGGCACAGCGAGCCCCGCTCCTGGGGGCGGCCCTGCCGGCAGGCGCTGGGGGGGGCTTTGAGAGGCACAGCGAGCCCCGCTCCTGGGGGCGGCCCTGCCGGCAGGCCCTGGTGGTGGGGGGCTGCGGCTCCCGCGGGGGCGAGGTCGGAGGCCACTCACCGTGGTGAAGGAATTGTACAGGTAGTAGATGGCCCAGGAGATGATGACGATGTAGTAGATGTTGAGCCAGAAGGACAGCACGGCCGCCGCGAGGCCCACGCCTGGGGGCGGACACACCGCACACACCATGAGGGTCGGGGCAGGGGCCGCCCGCGTCCCACGGCACCTGCAGCCTTATCGACCTGAGACGGGTGTTACTGAGGACACTGGGCTGAGGGAGGGGCAGGGACCCACTGAAGGTCACGTGCATCTGGCAGGTGAGGGGCCAGGACTCATGCCTGGGCCCGCACAGGCTGCTGGCGGGCGGGGCTGGGGTCTTGGTTTGCCAGGCGAGGCGGAGCCCAAGCCCCCGGTCAGCGAGTGTGACTCTCCGTGCCCACCTGGGTGCCTGCTGGGCACTGAGCGTGAAGCAAAGCAAATGACACCCAGACCTTGCCGGAGGACAGCTGACAGGGCGGGCAGGCTGCAGTGTGGGGTCTCCGGATGGGGCCCCCCTCCCCACCTCCACCACCCTAGTGTCTGACCAGCATGGTCGCCTGTCACCTGGTCCCTGCAACAGCCTCCTCTGCTCACACGTGAAGCGAGCAGCTCCCACCCCCGGAGGGGCCGGGCGTGTTGGGAAGCCCCTGGCAGGAGCACCACCACGACCCAGGGCCCCACTCTGCAGACTTACCCTTGAACATGGGGGCCAGCTTCCACACCCCCAGCCCCCCGATGGACGTGTACTGGCCCAGGGAGCACTCCAGCAGGAAGAGTGGGACCCCCGCAAAGATGAGCGTCAGGAAGTAGGGTATGAGGAAGGCTCCTGCGGGTAGAGAAGAAGGATGCTCGCGGCCCAGGATTTTAGAGGAAGCCCTGTCAGGGGCTGCATTGTGGCTCTTGGTCCCCATCCCAGGATTTCCTCATCCCTGCCTCAATGCAGCACCCAAAGCCAAACTGAGGCCCAAGGATGTCCTTTGCTCAAATACACGCCCTGTTCTCTGCAAAATAAGCTTTTTGACAGCTCTCTGCTGTATCATTGACAGAGGACAATTGTCCTTTAGGACCTATTTATAGAGGGGCAAGGAGCAAGAAATAGGGCCTGGAATTCCCTTTGGAGTCTTTAGGGGGCCTTTTCTCCTACAGCTGCCCCAGAGAATGCCTAAGTGGGTGCTCTCTGTGGGGTGCAGACTCAGCCGGAGGGCTCCCGCGTGGCACCTACCACCGCCATTTTTCCCGCAGAGGTAGGGAAACCTCCAGACGTTGCCCAGGCCGATGGCATAGCCCACGCAAGACATGAGGAAGTCGAAGCGGCCCTTCCACGTGTCCCGGTCAGGAAGGTCTGCCGCCTTCTTCTGCACCTTGACCACCAGGGTTTTGGGCTTGTCATTGGCCACGGGGGCCTCGCTGACCTCGGTGGAGATCTGCCCATCAGCCACCTTGCTGCCGTTGGTCGCCATGTCTCGGAGTTTGGACACGGGGATCCTAGTGGATGGACGAGCGATGTCAGCCCCGGTCCACGTGGACAGCAGTTTTGCGGCTCAAGGTCACCCTAGGAGGACAGATTTGGGTGACAGGCACAAAAGGTGTGCAGAACCCTGGAGCGGCCTTGCACCCAAACAACAAAAACAGCCCACAAACAAACGAGGGGCTCAGAAGGCCCCCTAGCCCTCTTCGCCCACCCGCCCGGCTCCAGGAGCAAGGCAGGAGCCCGTTGTCTCCAAAGACGGGCGAGGGCATCCACGCAGCCCACGCCCACTTCGGCTCTGGCCTGTGTCACGCCCTTTACCACCCTGCTCAGAGAAGAACCCTGAGACGACCAAGCCTCCAAATGGAAACAAGTATTGCATGACAAAATCCTCGTCTTTGCCTCTGAGGGCACGATTAGGAGATTTGTCACAGCCTGAAGCCACAGCAGCCACAGGCCAGGGCGAGCAGGGAGGTCCTAGCGGCAGCCCGGGCCACGAGACCGGGTCACAGTCCACGGGACCAATTTCGGGTTGTGTGACAAGTAAACTCAAGCTGTCTGTGCGCCCCTCATTGGGTTGTTGGAAAGCCCTGACTCTGTACTTGTAAAAAACTCTGCAAAAGGGGGTTCTTACACTGGCAACCCAGCCCCGGCCCTCAGTCAAAGAAGGACCACTTGCTTAGATGCCTCTTTTGACTCTCAGTCACCCCAAATGTCCTATGGAGACTCTACACCCTTCTTGCTCCTTTAGTTCCAGAGGCAATGTGGGGTAGAGCACCGTGTAGGAAATTGGACTCAGACCACTCCTGGTTTCAAATCTCTAGTTTGCCTTTTATAGCTGAGTACTGTTACTCAGTACTACCACTCAACACCACTACTAAGTACTACTCTCGATTGCTCTCTGCCTGCCCACCTATAACATGGGGGCAATCCTCTCTGGCTTGTAGAGTCGTGGCAAAAGTGGCTTGAGTGGCTGTAGGAGTGCCGTCCACCTGCCTGGTTGAGAGTGAGAACTCCAGGGGCGGCTGCCATCACTGTGGCTGTTGGCATTACCTGAGGGTCTGTGCCGGGTCAGCTCCAGAGAGGCGCCCTCAGCCGAGCCTGGGTGGCCTGGGTGGCGGACAGCCTGCAGAGCAGAGATGGGGAGGAGGGAAGGACGGTGAGACAGCAGGGACGAGCAGCTCAGGTGGAGGGCGGCAGGGGTGCGGGGAGCCTGCCAGGGCGCATGGGCTGTGCACGTGTCCCACCGAGCGTCCCTGGCCAGGGTGGCTGCAGCGGGCCCATGCAGCGTGGCGCTGGTTCTTGGGGGCCGGGAACATGCGGGACTGGGGCTGCTGCCCCGACGGCTGCGGGAGAGGCGTGAGGACAATGCGAGGAAGACGTGCCATAATTTTATCAGAAGGAAAAGAGAAGTCACCACAGGGCTGCAGCCCCCAGGCCCCAGCTGGGAGCCAAGTGCAACTGGTGTTCTTCACCATCCTCCATCCAAACTTGCAGAAATGTCAAGAAAGGCCATGTGAGAGCATGAGTAAGAGCACCTCGTTTTGTGGGGTGAGAAAAGCAGATTTTAAGATAGTTTATTTCGAATGATCCATTTTTGCTCCCTCCCCCAAAATCTGTCCATTTATAAACAAAAACAAAAACATGAAAGATATATCCAAAGATGTTTATGATGATTAGTTTATGAGAGCAACCTTTGTTTTCTTCTTTGCACTTTTAAAAAATTTTCTATGATGTTCTACAGAATTTGTTTGAATTAACAAAATAACACAAAATAAACTTATGGAACCCTCAGAACAGGCTGGGACATGTGAAGCCCTGGTCCGTGGATTCTCACAGGCAGGAGCCAGGCGAAGCGAGGGTGGCCTGCGTGGCCCGGCCCTGCCCCAGCGCCCCCCCCAAGCCCTGCCCACTGGCCGGGCTGCTGCACTGGCCCTCCAGCCCTCGCATGCAGCCCCGTTACCAAACACCGTCGCCGCTCCCAGAGTCCACGGAGACCCAGACCATCTTCGGCGACCCAAACTCTATCGCCAGCCTGCTTCTTGTCCTCAAGGACGGCCACTCCGTCTGAGCTCCTCCGCGCCTGCAGGCTTGTCTGGATGCCCGCCGAGACCTCGGCCTGGGCTCCGGACTCGGGCAGGGTGGCCGCCTCCCATCCTCGAGAGTGGCAGGAGGTCGGAAGCCGCCCACTCCGGTCTCCCAGGGAGCCTTGGGATATGCAGGAGAGACAGCCTCGGCCCTTAACTGTCCCCACCGTCTGCCCGGTGGGCGCCGGCTGCCGTGCCTGTCCAAAACCATCCGGGAACCTCAGACCAAGACTGACCCCCTGACTCAGGCTAGCCACTCAAACGCCTTCCCTGGGACTCTGTCCCGGGACCCGAGAGGAGGGGCAGTGTCGCCAGTGACTTGGGAACACTGAGGCAGCCTCCTCTGCCCGTCGTGTCCTCGGAGGAGCAGAGTTGGTCTGCTGAGGAGGAGGAAAATCAGAGACCAAAAGACAGAGAGTGTCCAAAAGACAGAAGGCATTCTACACTGCAGCTCCAAGACTGGCTGCAGCTACCTTCTTGTTCTTGGGTTTCACAAAAAGTCCACATTGTTATGGGTGCCCTTTTTTGCTTACATTGACTGGGGGGCTCCTGTTTCAATCCTAAATTTCTGCACCACCCCTCTGGTCCACGAGGAAGTTTAGCCCCCGAGTTCTTCTCTTTGAGTGCATGGAGCGCCTCCTCGTGCCAAGCCTTGCGGGACCGAGACGGCGGCTGCTCGGAGGAGCTCACTGCGGGGAAGAGGAAGACGTGCTTGCAATTTCCCACACACGGCGGCGGGGGCGGGGTGCGTCCAGGTTCAGCCAGATGAGCCACATGACCACACGTGGGGTTTCTCTTTTAGAAGATGCGGAACATATGAAGATAAACAACGCAAAGCCGTGAATTAATGTAACGGCGGCGCGTCTTGGAGGATTTCGGATTGAGAAGGCTCCTGGGCCGGCACGGCAGCAAGGCCCCCAGGGCTGAGCCAGCCGGGCCTGGCCCCCCGCACCCACGGCTGCTGCTGAGATGCTTCCCTCTGCGATCCTCATCCGGAAGATGGGAGGTAATGAGGGCGCCTCCCTCGTAGTCGCGATGACAGCAGAATGAGGTCGTTTGTGTAAGGCAGATGACACAAGCCTGGCACACAGGTAGGGCCTGGGCCACCTCAGCACTGCCATCGCTGTGGCCGTGACTGCCACGTGTGCACCGCAGTTCTGCGCCTGGCGAGCCTGGCGTCCCAGAAGGCTGGGGCAGCAGTGACAGCGAACGTTTATTAAGGGCTCCTTGTTCAGGTCTTTCAGCATCTTCAGCATTTTCAAAACCCCAGTGGAGATCATCCTTTCAGTCTCCACAGGGAATAGCAGCTAACGGAAACATCAGTCTCTTTGCTCTGGGCTCTCTTTCCGCCAGTTCAAGGTCTAGCCATCACCGCAGGCCAGTCAGAAGCTGGGAGTGCTACAGTTACGTTTGGTTAATAAAAAAAATAATCATTGTATAATAAAGTCTGGCAGGAACCCCCCCCCCAATCCAGTACATAGGATGAGACTGACAAGGGGTCCAGGGTGGTCCCGGCCAGCGCGCCACCCTCCCACACTGGCAGCGGCTTGGGGACATGAACCGATGACGCTGGAGTGTTACGCTGTCGCTGCCCTCTCCTGTGAAAACGGCATGCGGGAAGCACGGCGCACGCAGGTTCACCGCAAGGTGAACCATTTTGCAAATTGTTAGCTCCCCTTTCCTGAGACACACCCAGTGTTTGTGGCTCTTGGGGACACTGTTGGAGGACGGCTCTGTGGGTCTGCAGTGGTAAGGCCACATGCTTCCTTCACCTTGTCGTGACTGCCAGGCTACGACCTTCCCTTACCTGCTGATGGAGCAGGGGGAAGGAACACCTCTCACCTTCTCATGATTTGGGGCACTTTTCAAGGTCATTCTTCCAGAGTCTTCCAGTTCTTCCCCCTTAGGTGCCAACGTTCTGCAGACCAAGAACCTAGCTACATATTCCTTCAGGTGCATACTAAGCCCTCATTAACTAAATTCCACCAAAGCAACATTCAAAAGGTCACAGTTAATGTGAGACCATCAGTGACAAGTCCTCTGCATTCACTCACCACTCGTTCACTCCTCCATTCATTCAACAAGGGTTTATGCTCTGTGCTGAAATGACGATGGAACAATTTTTTTCAAGCGTTTTGTATTCTGAACTACACCCTGGTCACAAGTTTGAATTAGTTATCTAACAGCTTCCAGCAGAAAGACGCATTTCCGTAAATCTTTCACTGAGGCCCTACTATGTGCATGGGGCAGGGTGGATGCAAAGACACTCAGTATGCAAAGATTAACAAGACAAGGCCTGTGCCCTTGACAAGGTCACTGCCTAGAAGAACTACTTCTGCCTCTAGCTGATGGTGATACTCTCTGATAAGCGCTGAGGGGTGTAAGAAGAAAGCACTAGAAGTATGAGTTAATTCAGCCAGAGAAAGTATCTCAGATGAGGGGCTATTTGAACCGGGCTTTGAAGGTTGAATAGGAGTTCATCAGATTTAAAAAGAGGGAAAAGGCATCCCAAGTGGAAGAAAAGTATGAACAAAAGTAGGGAAGTGTGAAGCTAGGAAGGTTAGTTTGTGAAGGGCCTTGAATGACAGGCTAAGGAGCTTAGGGACCCATCTCAGGGGTGGGCCAGGGGTGATAATGTGATCAGATTAGTATCACAGAAGAAGATGCACTCAAGAAGGCTCTGGAAAGGATGGAGTTAAGGTAGGAAAGTGGTAGAATGTTCCCATGATGTCCCACCCTTCCTTGGTGTATGCTCTGTGATCAAGTCCTAAAGCCATCTATAAAAACACAGCCACACTAAGCAGAAAGAACACCTCTGCCAATCCCCGAATGAGGAGTTGGTTTGTAAGAAAAGGAAAAGCATGTGGAGTTTGGAAGCCCTTGATTAGGAGTGGCAAAATGGGTCAAAATTGGCCCTTGGGCTTGTTTTATTTGTCCTGAGCAAAAAAAAAAAAAAAAATCAGTTTGAATTAAGAGCCAGAAATGTGACTCTCTGGGATATAGCGTTTAAGCAGAGGGAACGGCAAGTGCAAAGGCCCTGAGGCAGGAATAAATTTGGCATGTCTGAGAGGCAGCAAGGTGGCCAAGGTGGCTGGAGTCCAGTGTGAGAGGGAGCAGATGCAGTGAGAGGCAGGAGACAGGGCCAGATCACACAGGGGCTCTGAGCCTACGACGAGGAGCTCAGGTTTTATTCTAAATGGATGGGAGGACGTGGGGGCTGAAGCCGTAGGGGCGATGCAACTTACATTTAGGGGTCTCCCTCTGGCTGCCCAGAGGAGGCTGCAGAGGGGCAGGGAAGGGAGGAAGCAGGGGCAGGTTCAGAGGCTCGGTGTCCTGCAGGAGCTGCTGGGACTGGAAGGCGCAGCCCGCGGAGGTGGCGAGGAGGCCGGGTCTGTGCTGGAGGTGGGGGCAGGCCGAGCGAGCGGGGCTGGCTGTCAGCAGCCGGCCTGTGCAGATGGCAGGCCGGGGGAGGGGAATGTGTAGAACCGCCTCGGACAATCCCCCTCTGTCCCACTGCGTCAGAGGGGCAGGCGGCCGCGTGGGGTGGGACCTAGGCAGAGGCCAAAAGGCCAGGGCCAGAGTCTCAGGGCTGCCATTGTCTCAGACCAGGGCCGGCCGTGGAGGAGGGGCACGAAAGAAGCCAGGAGGGGACACACCGCCTGGGAGCAGGGCCCCTCCACCCATGGAGCTGTGCTCACGCCTGCTTTGTTTTGCTCCGCTCTGTAATTACAGAAATTACAGAGGCTTGCTTCACACCGCAATTGCTCCACTTGCTTTTCTTTCTTTTTGAAACTCTGTGGTTCAAGAAAGAAATTAATATTGAGTTTGGCTTCATTCCAAGGGGAAACATAATGCAGTTTATTCTCTGCCTTAGGGGAAAATGCTAGGCTCAATCAATTGGACAAGGCTTTATTGAGCATCTGTTGTGTACTCAGTCGCATGCCAGCTCCTATCAAGGGAGAAGAGGTAGCATTTATTGAGCGCCTGTTGTGTGCCAGGCATTTCACAAGCGCTGTACCGTGCAGGCCTCGTTCCATCTCTGTAAGCCAGGACTCCTGCACCCAGCTGACGAGTAAGGAAATGGGCTTGCCAGCCTGGGGCTACTGTAAAGGCACCTCAAAGTGCTTAGTGACCCAGGGCCTTGCCACTCAAAGTGTGCTCTCTAAGGGACAGCATCGGCGTCACCTGGACCCCTGTCGGCAATGCAGAGGCCTGGGCCCCGCTCCAGACCTTTGGAATCAGAGGCTGATTTTGAACAAGGTCCCCGTGATTCAGGAGCCCAGGGCAGCTTCAGAGGCTGTGAGTTAGGGGTGACCCGGATTATTCCACGGGGTTTGGCTCAAATCCCTGCTGACCCGGGGGCTAGATACTTGGCTTGCTCAAGTCTCGGTTTCCTCATTGGTAATGTGGACCCTCATACTTCATCGGCTTGGTGTGAGAATCCAAAGTAAGGTAACGTGTGGAAAGAGGCCAGCCAAGGGCCTGGCACACAGGAAGTGTCAATAAATAGCAGCTCAGGCTGCCATTCAGAGAGGAATGGTTGCAAAAGTGCTTTGTAATTGAAAAACATTGCATATGTGAGGACCAGTTAATAGCTGGCCATCAGATGCAGGCAGTTAGAGGCGAGGTTTGGATCGTGCAGGACAGCAGGCGCCGAGGGCAGTCCCGCTACATGCTGGAGGTCGGGGAAGGCTCCGTGCGGAAGGCGCTCTGACGGAGAAGGGGCTGTTGGAGAGGGTCTCCAAAGCTCAGGATTTGGATGAGGCCTCAGAGGCCAGCTGGGTTGGGGGGGTGCAGGCTGCAGGAGAGATGGACAGGTCAGGATGGGGAGGTCTAGATGGGAGGCCCCCATTCTTGAATCCTCAGCCCATGAGTAGTGGGGGCTGGGGCTGGGACCTAGGCAGCCTCCTTCCTGGTCCCAGACCACAGCAGTGCACCTGGTCTATAGTGGCAGTCTATAGACAAAGAACACAGCCCAGAGAGGGCTGGTGGTTGGACAGGGGTCACACAGCACAAGAGTGGCCCGGCCCTTACAGAATCTCATCTCCCACCCCTGCACACTCTTACACAAGAGATGACGGACGGCAGCTCTGCTTCTTGGTGCAAGCTCCCAGCAGCCTCAACAGCCCTCAGAGGTCCCGTGCAGAGCTGGGTGCGATTCTCAGTAGCATTTAGTGGCACTAATTCAGCAGCACCTCAGTAGCACTGAATGCTTGCTCTTAACAACAGCCCACTTCGACTTTCAAGTAAGTTACTTATTTCCTCTAAGTTTTGGTTTCTCATCAGTAAATGAGACCAGTGGAAACCACTTCACACAGTGTGAGCACTGAGGACTGGATTTGAATTTTCTAGCGCCGTGCCCTGCACAGCAAGCACCGAATACATTGAAGCCAAAATGATCATGGGTCCCATCTTGTAGCTGACGGCACAGAGAGGTCCCATGAGCCCAAGGTCACAGGGACTGGACCCCGACCTTCTGATCCGCAGTCTGCGAGGTTTGCATGTACAGCAGGGGCTCCCAGGCACCGGCCTACGTAAGACTTCCTGATAATCCGACCTGTCCGGCCTGCCTGCCGGGTGCCGGGGGGGGGGGGAGATGTGGCAGAGTGGACAGGAGTTTGCCCGGCCTCACCCCCTGGAGCAGACAAGGAATGTGAGGCTCCAGCCCCTCCCCTCTGCTCTAAGCCTCCGAAAGCCCGGGCACCTGGTTTTTGGCCACAGTGCGGGGGAGAAGGCCAGAGGGCATCCACACGCCAACAACTGGGGCGAGAACAAAACAACTTTGCAACTACTGGAGGCTCGACAGACTCACTGAATGGTGAAATCAACTCCAGAAGTCATGATGCTTTCTTCTGTACTTGCATACAGAAAAGAAAAATCTCCCAACTTTCTTTAACAAAGTGGGGAAGAAGCTCAGAGTGCAGGGGGGAAATGAGCCGGGAATGCTTACGAGCACGCCAGGGCCCACTCTAAATGCTTTTGTCTGTTCACTTGCTGTTATCAATGTACCCCCATTTTCCTGATGGCTAAACTGAGGCACAGACAGGTTAGAGTGACTTGCCTAAGGTCTCCAAGGTAGGAGTTACGAGAGCCAAGACTCGGACGCAGGCAGTTGGGTTCTTGTGCCCATGCTCTAACCACTCTACTCTGCTGTCTCTACTGGAGCGCCGGGGGAACCCCCAAGCCCTACCTTCGTGGGGTGCAGGAGTGGCCCATCCCCAGCAGGCAACTCCCTCCAGGACAAACCCCCACAAAGGCACGGCTCTTTCTAAGAACCCAAGAGAGGCAGCTGGCGCTCGACTCCAGACCGCTGAGGCCTGGCTCCGCGAAGCCCCACGCGGTGCTGAGCAGACCCTGCAGCTCTCCCGGGAGCCACGAGAGGTC